TATTGTGGCTCATCCCTAGGTTAAAGTTGTCCCTTCAATATACCCGTTTTAATAGTCTATTATGACCTTAAGTGACACTTCTACAAAGTCGTAGGGCTGAGTAGGTAATAATCAAATGTATTAAGGCGTATCCTATTCAGCCCTGGACAGTTGCACATAACGTGTTCCGACATCTCATCATTAGTCTGACAGAATCTGTAATCCGCACTTTTTGCCAGTCCAATTTTGTTCATGTGCCCTTTGAGGAAACAGTATCCTGTTATGGGGACCTACCATAATGCGTAGATCACTTCTATTCATATCTAATAGATCTTTGGATCTCTTTTTCGAAGGCTCATGTATAAAAGCCTGAAAGTTACTTATTACTTTTTCCGATCCGAATCAGATTCGGATGACAGTTCCAAACTAACTTAGAGTTAATACGATTTGATTCCAGCGTCTTTAAAATGATTCCGCCTGGCTACCAGAAATACTTTTTATAACTTGTTCTTGCAGTATCTTGTGATTAGTTCCTGTAGGAACATTTCTATAGCATATATACTTATGCTTTCACCAAGGCTTAGTCTTGGTTTTCCTCCGTATATAGAGACCAGCTCCAACTCCTTCATTGGTTTCAGAACAGTCTGAATACCAGGACTAATTTGCCATTATAAGATTCGTTTTATACGACTCCTATTCGTCCCTTCCTGGAAAGAGGACAATAAACGACTTTTCGAAATTATATTTAGGTTGCATTGCATCTGTTTCCATCTCTGGTTGATTTTTAATTATCTCTTCAGATTTGATTCCGGTAACCTTGTGTCCTGCTGCCTGGATCTTATTTGCCTTCTGTATGCCCTGATCTTAGCCTGGTTCTCCATTCATATTATATAATGGAGGGAGTTCAAGCATGACCTCCATGGAGGCGGTTGAGGTAGTCGACATCGCTCTTGTTATGATTAAGCATGCTTGTCGTTGAAGCTTATTAAGCTTCTCTTTGGTGGTTCTTATTAGTTTTTAGACCACTCTATTAGTGCGCCATATGTAATCATAAGCCTGACTACAGTCCTATATAGCAAGTTTATCTGTTTGAGTTTTAAAACCCATGTTTTCTCACATACCCTTCGAAATGACCAAAGGAAAAGCTGTACTTTGCTGGTTATTTTTACCAAATGAGCGTGTAATCCGCTTATCTAGAATTAATCCTAGATATTTGACCTTATTCACCTCTCTGACATTTTCTACATACAGAGCGAGCATCCAGATGTTATCTAGGTTTCGACTCCTTTTGAAACTGACTACTATTATTTTACTAGGATTGACAGAGAGTCAGATAGACAGACTGTCGCACCATCTATTAAGGACATTTAATGTTATTTGGAGTGTGCTGGATACCACAGTACCATATATTCCTCTTATAATCACTGTATCATCCGCAAAGACCTGCACTTCTACCCACTCTGTGTCGAGGAGCGAAACTAAGTCATCCACCAGGAGTGACGACAGTAGGGAAGAAATAACTCTCTCTGTGAATATCCCTTAGTAGATTGGCTAGAATCTACTCTTCTTGCAGATCTTGCAAAGTAAAAAAGAAAATATTTCCAGATAATAATTTTTCCGAACAAAAAACTCATTCAGTTAAGATACTGAGTTCAGTTAAGAACTTAGTAGATAAAAATGATAGAAAAATAGACAATGCTCAGAAAACAAAAAGGGTAAAAATGGATAAGATAAGATTGTTGCTAATATCACATATGAGACATTACTACACCATTTTTAGTTGAAACAAAAGTGACATTTTTTTAAATTTTATACTACAATAAATCTGAAACTCGAAGAATGATATCCTTAATACCAAAAATGTTGTTTTATTGCTTAATATATTATATTTTTGTTCCAAATTTTAGATCTAAGATTTTTCTCTTCCATCTACTTTCTTCAAAAGTAGTAAAGTAAAAATAATTGCACCTACTATACCCTGGCCGCTTAAAACATGGAATCCAAGGTCGCATGATCGCTGAATGCAAGCATCGACAGTCGGTCAAAACTATATCTTCTGAGAAACTGTTTACACCGTCATTATATTATTCATCTATGGTCATTATTAATTTGTATTTCACTTTCGCTGGTGAATTTTGTTGGCAGTGTTAAAAATTGTTTGTCGAGTTCACGCGTACGTATATTAATATGTATTTGTATTTTTTGTATTCTTGTGAATAAAGATATTCTATTCTATTCAAACGAATCGCATTCCATCAAATTTATAAAACGAATTTATCTCTTAATTTTATTTAAAGTTTACTTTTGACATATTTATACACGCAAAACCCAATAAAATGTTTAAATTTAACGTAAATCAATAACCTGTAAAAAAACCGTATAAATATATTATAGTGAGAGTATTAGTTCGTTTTTGTTAAGCGGTGTAAACGTGGGAAAAGTGATAACATAAAGAGAGGAATATTTAAGAGTGCGTGCCATTCACGTGATCATTCCATCTTTTCAGCGGCTCAACTATAGGTGTATTTGGTTAAATGAGGTGGAAATTGAGGTGGATAGGGCATGTAATACGGATGGAACAAAATGACCCAGCTAGAAAAATGCTCCTTGATAGGCCTAATGGTCAGAGAAGAAGAGGAAGATCCAGAACAAAGTTTCTTTACAACATCGATGAAGATATAAGAAATATGGGAACACGTGCTTGGCGGAGGAAGGCGATGGATAGGAACGACTGGAGAGAAGCTCTTGAGGAAGCTATGACCCACGCAGGGTTGTAAAGTTAGAATCATGATGATGCATATATTTTAGTCTCTTTATTTTTGGCGTTGCTTGAATAAAAATTATTAGTTTGATATATTGCGAAAAGAATTTCTAGATGACATATCTATATAGTATATCGTATACTGCGAATACCAGGTAAATGTCGGAATACCAAAATCGAGAAAAAACGTTTTTAAAGTTTAGTTTTTTATTGTGAATTAAGCAGTCAGCTTACTTTTGTTATTAGGTATTCTAGTGAAAGATGCATATATCTGAAATTATATTCTATCATTAGTTTGAAGAAGTTGAGACACTTATCTGACTAATCCTAAATTTAAGTTGGAAATGCTATCACCATAAGGCAAAATAGGGAATGTAAAAATAAAATTATTATAATAATAACAATATTATTATTATGAGGCTTCCTCGTCCGATTTGTCACTGAAAGCAGGCTCTGACAAGATGTCTGTTACATCATTTCCCGTTTTCAAATTACGACACCAACCGTGATATTCCTCCGGTTTCACTCCCTTATCACATAGCTGTAGCAAATCTCTCTTTTTTGCTATGCTAATTGGCAAAAGTTCATCACAAAATCGCTTAAGTTTTTCAAGATTGCCTGTATTAGTTGATAACTTGGCGTGCTTTTTTCTTGTTTACTTCCTCGTCTACCGTTAATTTTTGACCAGGTAAAAAAGTAAGCTGCATTTGGTAATGCGGCCTCATATACACACATTACAGATACATAAGTTTCGAGAATAATATAGTTGTCCAGTCAATCCATTTGGAATCTGTAGTACGGCCTGTAGATCGAAAGTAATTGAAACAAAATCCCGTTGTTCATTAGATCTTTTCTTATCATTTTGTTTTTCAAAATTACATACTTCTTTTCTTTTCTGATGTTTCAGTTATTCTACTCGATCAAAGGCCTTCTCAAAATCAATAAAGCACATATAAACTGATTGATTCATTTTTTAATAATAATGTAATTTGATCTGTAATCAAATCCAGTCTCGTATCCAGCATTTTTATTTGAGATTAAAATATCCGGGAACGATAGTGTTTTTATATTTATTTTCTATGGTAAATGTTATTGTCTTTTCTGTATCGTTTATATTATTTAGGAATGTGTCCAACAACACTGATCTATGAGGCTATATTGGGAATACATCATCTACATATCTCCACCTTACTGTGGGTTTGAAATTTTGTTTAGAAATGATATTTGTTTCAAAATCTTCCATAAATATATCGGCTAAGAATGGAGATAAACTAGAGCCCATTATGGGCTACAACTTAGACAAGGAATAAAGAGAGGACAGGTAAGATCGCCATGTTTTGTGACTGTACGTTGTCCATTACTACCTCTCGCAGGGTTACCAGGTCTACTGATTTTTCAGTAGATCTACTGATTTCAACTTTCATTTATTGTTTCATCGTGTTTAAAAAGTGATCATTATGTTGGTGTTCAATTTTGAAAAAATCTGTTTATTGATATATCTATTATTTTCAATCTTCTGAAGAACTAAAATATGACCTGACAACCTTTCTGGTGCCGGTTTAGGGTGAGTTTGGCTTCAGTCAATTCCATACGGTTACGCGTCCCCTCTCTTTCCTTGCCTAAGATGGAAACAAATAGAGTGACGCATAATGGAGGTGGGTGGTTAATTGTGCAGGTTCTGAGGCTAACGGACAAAGTTCGATGTCAAACTTCTCCGAACGCACACAAGTTTGTGAATGTGTTCATCCTTAACTCTATTTGATCGACGTATTCTTTGCCTGGAATATGTTCTTGCTAAGGTTTCAGTCGAACTTAATGATTACAGCAGACGGACTTCAAGAGCCAATATTTAACAAACGAGGGTTTCTGTACTTTCGTACTAAAGAAACTATATAGAAAGTTTTGAAGACTCTACTCTCTCTGTATCCAAATTATCGATTCTTTACCTATTGACCCCAAACTGACCCCAAAATTGTCCTCAACAGAGTTCTACCTTTTCCAACCATCAAGAAAAGGAAAACGGCGTATCTAAGTCACATCATGCGAAATGAAAAATACCAGTTCCTCCAACTTATAATCGAGGGTAAAATGAAGGCAAGAGAGGAATGGGACGCAAGAAGATGTCCTGGCTCCGAAAATAAGACCATGGACAGGATTAACGACATACAATCTCTGATACATATTGCAAGAAATAGAGAATTAATGGAAAATGTGATCGCTAACATCCATTATTGGATTTGCATCTGAAGAAGAAGAAGAACTACTATACAAGTCAACTTTATTGTTCTTAAAAAAAAATGAACAGAATATATCAAATTAGGACTGTATTAAAAAAAATTTTAAAAATGATATCTACAAAACACACGAAACAAAAAATTAAATATTGGTCACTTTGATTTTTGTTTTATTTCGTAAATAGCTTTTGCTGGTGGTTCACATCGTCCGCATGGTGTAATTGCATAAATTGAAATATATAATACAGATGAAAGATCAAGTGAGTGGATCATAGCACACGTTCTCCAGCCACTTAAGATCTTAGACTTCCGCTTCCCGTTAATTTCAATGTCATATCCGGTGATAGCTTTACTTTTTGGACATTTCCATTCTACTACAATACTATCCACAGTTATTCTTTTGACGTTAATCACTTTGAATCCAGTTAGGTTTACAAATTTGTTGTCTCTGTGGAATTTTCCACATTTGCAAGCGACGCCCTTTAATTTCGGTCTGTCAACACTTTGTGTTTCAACGTTCTTTGTAACTTTAATATCATTTGTATTGTTTGTTGTATACGTCTTTTTCCAGGTATTAATTGCTTCATTTAAACCAGCAACTGATTGACCAAAGTCAGAAGCATTTATCGTTTCCGATGCATGGTGGTTTACACAATCAATAGGAATATTTTCTGCATTAGTTGTTCGGCAGTAAGGTTGTAGTATATAGTACGGCGGCAAATCTGATTCTTTTTTATTTCCTTTACATGTCAGCGTAAGATTAGGAGATAATGTATTAGGTTTATTGTAGATATCATAATTTATTGTTCGAATTAATTTGCTTTGTCGTGGACTTATATTGTTGTCCCCAGTATTATAGAAAATATCAGGATGGGGACTAGTACACACAGGACAATTGCAAGTATTGCCTCGTCTGCGTTGACCAGGTATAGCCGTTAAAGGTCTAATTTTAACAGTTTCCTGTTGTAATACTGGAATGTTTGGTACGGATATTCTTGGAGGATTGTAACATGTAAATTGTTGAATATCGTCGCTCTGTTCCGTAATATCATGATCACATTCACTCTCTTGTTGAATACTGGTGGAGATATTGAAAAACGTTGTGCTGCTAGTATAACGTTTTAGTTCGTCCGTTATTTCTTTAATTGTTTTGTCATCAGCTTTACAGTGTTTCTTTAAATTCTTGAAAGCCGTACTAAGTTCTGATATAGATTCTTCATATTCGTATGACTTTTTAAGAACAGACTGTTCATGTGAATTATGAGCATATTTCTCCTTAAATCCTTTAATTTTGTTCAAAGTTTTTTTGAGGATTTTGATTTGTTCCTCATATTTACATTTGTCTTTCAAGAAAGAATTGTTGTTCTCTGTAAGGACGTAAGGTTTTTCTGGTAGATTTGGATCTAATTTGTGAAAGACAGTACGGTTATTAGTTACATCGCTTTGAGAAAATGGAAACACTTCTTCAGAATACGGTATTGGTTTGGATCTAGACAAACCAAACTGCTTAAACTTATTTATTTCTGCACTCCTAGTAACGCCTCGCGTTTTTCCACTTTTTGATGATCTATAGTTCTTTTTTCTTTTGGTTTGTATCCGAACTGGTACTGTTGATTGTGGAAGGAACATTGGCAAATGGTTGTATAAGTTTTCTACCTCAATTTTCTGACCATTTGTAGCTTTTAGTTTTTTGGGTTCTGGTAAACGTGTAGGGTTCTCTAATTTTTCGTGAACAACAATTGGGTCAACAAAAGCTTGATAAGCAGCATATGAATGATACTGTTTCATTTTAGAATTTTTTGGTACATATTCTGATTGTTGCTCAATATGTGTAGGTTGTGACATTGGAATCTCAAGGCAAGTGCATTTAGCTTGTAAGGTAGGAGACGGATTATTGGGATTATTTTTCTTTATAGGTTTTCCTTCTATTTTGTTATTTAAAATACAGTCAGTGCAACTACAAGGGCTGCAAGTACAAATCTTTTTGTTGTCACCTAATTCTTCTTCTCGAATTTGATATTCCCGAGTTTGATATTCTGGAGTTTGATATTTAATAAATTTACAATTCTTGCACGTACATTGTTCACAATAACATTTCATATTATCCGTTTGTTCAACCTTTTTTGTGTGACACGTTAAGCATGAACAAGCACTGCAGCTGCAAAGTGAATTTGTTTCTTTATCACTTAATGCAGAGGTACTGTCACTAAATTTACATTTCTTACAAATACAGTCATTAGCCATATTATCTCTTGATGTTTTTCTTGATTCGCACACTTTACAAGTGCAATGAGGTGGGGTTTTTGTAGTTGGTCTATCTTGAATCTTTATTTGTTGTTCTGGTTTGCTAAAAAGGCAGTCTACACAGTTGCAAGTACTGCAATGGCACTTTATAAACTCTATTGTAGAAGTCTTTTGTAACTCTTCACAAAGACATTCTTTACAAATACAATCACGATCATGAGTAGATCTGGTTATTTGAACGGGTTTTCTGACTTCCAAAGTTTTTTCGGTACTGCCGCCACACCTACATTTTTCACAGGTACATTTTTGGCTAGGGGTACTTTTATATTTACTTTCTACCTTATTTTCATCCTGCAAGCCAAAACGAGTTTATATTAAAAAAAGTTTAAATGGTTAAACAAATAAAATTTCCATGGCTTGTAAGTGACTAGAAAAGTTAAAAAGTTAAAATATATAAATATATAGAAAAAAATGGAATTGACATTAAGTGCAGAACCTACTTAGTATAAATAACGAATTTTGGAGACGTGAAATCAGAAAATTCGCCAAAAAATACTTAAAATTTACTGTTAATTGATATATATTAGGATTTTAGTTGAAAACAGTTAGTTTTAGTTTTGAATTACGAGTCGAATCAGTCCGAAATAAATATTGTAAATACATAAATAATATAAATTATAGAAGTTGTGTTTTAGAAGTTCGAGATATTACAAAAATACTTTTATTTACGACTTTATCAATTTTTTAGTGGAAATATTTTTAAATAAACAATCAAAACGTCAAACTCATTATTTTGGTCATAACTAAAAAAATTGTCTATTTAGAGATATGACGTTAACAGAAAACTTTTTCAAAAAAAAAAGACATACATAAAATGAGATCTGCTAAATTAAAATAGGATAATAAAAAAGAAAGTTATTGCAAAATGAACAACAAAATTGCTGTTTTTTAATATTGTTATTAACTTTTTGATTATTTCTTAAAATTTGTTTAAATGTACCTGAACTTGAGGGTCTTATCATGTTTGAATTGTGTGCAAAAGATAGGCCAGTTCGGTCAAATAGTTTTTGTAAAATTTAATTTGTTTATAAGACGTATACTAACAACCTATGGAAAAAGTCTAAAAAAACTTATGTACACAGAATGATGTAATACTAATACCACATAAAAAATGTTATAGGACCCTTAGCATCCTAGATAGTATTTTTTGTTAATTCCATCACCATCATCATTCTGGCTTTACAACCCTGCGTGTGTCCTAGCCTCCTTAAGAATTGTTGATTTACCACTCCTGAAACCAGCCTGGTATTTTTCTACTATCCGTTCTGCTAAGGGTGTAGCATTTCGATTTATTTCGATTTCCCTTCGTATATATCAAAACACCGAAATATTTTCAATCCGTTTGCATCGCCGGAATTGATAATATAAACATTTCTGGTCTATGTATATTAATTTTTAATTGCATTCTTAGATCGAGATGCCTCCTAGTATTGAGCTTCAAACAAATATCCACTTAGATTGGTGAGAACGTGACGCGGGGAAAATAATTATATCACTCTGTAATAGACCACGATACGATTCAGGTCATTGTGAGTCCGGATTTTCTTTTCTAAATTCGTAATGGGTTTTCGTTGTTCGTTTTTGTTATGGAAAGTGTGTAATATAGTGTCAGTTTGTAGTTTAAGTAAAAGTTGGTTTAAGCGAATCTTGAAGGAGATAAACAACGGCATGGTAGTCTGAAAAAGCCGGTAATTTTTTTTGTGGAGAGGTGAGTGTAATCAAATGTAAATGTTTTGTTGATTTAATCACCGATTTGTTGTATATGTTGTGTCCTATGTAGGATATTTGTAAGCAGCGTTACAACGATTTGAGAGGTCCACATGGTTTCAAGGAGTGTTTGAAAATCCAAGCTTTGAAGATTGCAGTTTGTTAACCCGAAGTCCGAATCAGTTTCAACTTCTTAAAAACAAATTTGCAGCTTATGGGACACAGTTGTATGTGTTTTTGCAGTGATTTCGTCCAATTTAGATCCCAAAAACTTTCTTAAAGGAAATATATCAGTGATACAAGGCACTTTTTGTTAAATTTTTTTGTTAATTTTTCATTAAAATAAAAAATTTTGCTTTTGTGACAAATTGAAAAATTGTAATAAATAAAATTATAAGTTTAATGGATTGGCTAATTCTGATTTAATTTTTCTTTTAAATGCAAATAATTTTAAGAATTTAATTAATATTTCAAAAAGTTAAAAGTTTTAATAGTTAATTTCGACATATGACAGTATTATCTTTTTCAGAAATTTGGTACATAACCATAAATTTTGAATTGTTTTGTTTTTATTTGAAGATCAACCTCAATGTAAGCTCCATTGAAAAATGTAGATATTTTCAATTTAATAATAATTTAAATTCCTATAGTGTCCCCAACGTCTAGAGTTTGTTGTAAACCGATAGCACCATTGTAAGTAATATTTAAATTCTGTTAATTTTAGTTGTATTAACTGTATATGGTGAAGTAATAATAAATATGTAATGTTTCCCTCCAAACCAAGTGTAGTATTATTTCCTTTGAAAAGTTTTTTACCCTTTTATATTTTTTAGGAAAGAAAAGCCCTTCTTTCCAAACAGCAGGAAGATTCTTGTAAACAGCGTCCAATTTAAATAGTTTAGGAACCTACCTGTGTTGTATACTTTTTGATTTTTCTTTTTGTAGTTACCCTTTTCCAGTCCCTCTGTTATTAACTTACTTACAACTCAGTTCTCCAACCAAACCAAGTGTAGCCGTTCTAAGACGTTTCGGTTTGTGTGCTTACTTCATCTTTAGCCCAGTAATTTCTGTCCCCAGTTACAACCCCCTATAAGTAATACCCAGTGTGGCAGGCAAATATAACCGCCACAAAGGTGTCATATGGTGACATAGTACTGTGGAAAATATACGCTGTATTCAGAAGCTTAATTCCTCTATGGTTAGAGCATTTAAAGATATCTCATTTTTTTGTGAATGGTGTAAAGTATTCCAATATTTCAATCATTGGGGAGGAATTTCTGTGCCCATAATTCTTTTATAAGCTGTTGTAATGCCATTATAGTATCGTGGTCACCTTCTTTATATAGTTCAGCTGAGAGATTATCTATTTCGGATGATTTGTTTCTGGCTAATTCTTTAACTTCATCTTTAACTTGAAGAATCTTTGGTGGTTCCTCTTTTCTCTCGTCTGTTCCCCTTACCTTATCTCTTTCGTCCTCCACGTTTTCTTCTTCCTCCTCTATATTAAGTGCCTGGTTAAAGTATTTCACCCATCTATTTAATACATCTTTCCTTCTTGTTAATAGGTCGCCATTTTGACTTCTGCATTGTCTTGTGGTTGCCTTAAGTTATTTTCTGTTGATATTAACTTTTTATAGAATGCTCTGAATTCTTTCTTTCTGTTGAAGTTTTCTATATAACTAAGTTCCTTATTTAAATGGTTTCGTTTTTTTGTGTATCCTCCCTTCTTCTCTTTTCTTTATCTGGTAATTCTCTACAGTTGTTCTAGTTCGTCGTGTAAGCATCATTCATCGTCAAACCAATGATTTTTACGGGCACAAATTTCTGTTCCCATTTCATCTTTCGCTGCTGCTTCAATGGCTTCCTTTATTCTGGTCCACTAGGTGTCTATATCTGTATGGCCTTTTTCATTTACATTTTGACTTCTTAGCCTGTTGGTAATATTTTTAGAGCATCGTTCTGTAATTGTCGCATCTCTCAGCTTTTGCACATTCCTTTTTTTTATCTATTTTATTTTCTTTACTGGTGTCTGAAATTCTAGCCTTCAATGTTGAGATCACTAGCCAATGACCTGAGTTCATATTAAAATAAATAAATTTAAAGTTATTAAGTTGTGTGATCAATCTGACTTGTTTTTCCATCAGGAGAGGTCCAAGCTACCCTGTGTATGTTTTTGTGTTCAAAATAAGTGTTAGCGAATGTCATATTTAGTGTTGCTGAATTTATCATAACCTTCATTGCAAATTTTAATATTATATATGTAGAAATGTTTCGTTTGCAGTTATTATTGAGGTTTGCATAAACATAGACACTTCATCTGTCAAACTAACCTAAAATAAATATAAAAAATAGAAGAGACATGTAAACCTTAGTAATAAGTTTTGACATAACGAAAGAAAATCAAATTTAATAATGTCATTATGTTAATTAATTTTGCTAATTTTAAAACACAATCCTCACAAGGGTAAGACTATTGAAGATATAACAACTTCATTTTTCTAATGTAAATTTTTTATGTTAATTTTTAGTACGTTTTGAAAAAGAGTACAATAAACTCGAAAGCTTAACAAACCTAAAAGAGTTTTACTTAAAGGCCAATATTGACTACTAAACCCAAGATATCCGTATATATTACTCACATAGTCACTAAAGCCCTTTCTAAGAATATATATATATATATATATATATATATATATATATATATATATATATATATATATATATACAAATTAAGGATCACTCAAAGAGTGGTGGGTTTTTCGGTCAAAAGGTGGAGAAAAAAGACAAAGAAGGTGGCTACCTCATCTATTTATTGAATACGTTCGGCTTTCTAATCAGAAAGCATCATCAATTCATCTAAAAAGAACAATATAAAAAACCAAACCATAGAAAAGTTATTACAAGTGTGTTACCTCAAAAAATTATGTAGCAGTCAATAAGATTATATATGTAAAGAAGATTACGACAATGGATATTATAAGAAACTAGATTCAGTTTACAAATTAACAAACTTAGCACAGGAAAAGACCATGTGGTAATTGTACATGTATATAAAAAATTATGTAAAAAAACTTGAGTAAAAAACTCAAGGTACTATTAATAATTAAGGTAATATTATTATGCAGAAATCTAAAAAGATCATAAGATACACTTCCAACAGTATATTATTAGGCAAAATTAATTTTAACTTTAGGTAACATTATTAAATCGATGAAGATTGAAATGTAATAATATTTAAAATTATAATGAAGTTACCACTCTCTAGCTTCTTAAGTGCTGCAGGTAAATGGACGCAACAGGTATAAAACATACACCAACAACGAAAAAAGACAGTGGCCTTGAGGTCAAATTATGACAGAACAGCAAGGCGAATTACCAACCTCTAGTGCAATAAAGCGGTACATTTAAAGAATATGATAAACTTGGTTTTGGTTTTTGCTGACAACGTATCAGTAAAAACCAAAAAATGAAAGAAAAAGGTGGTTAAGATCGCCATTTTCCCCCAGTGATTGGTTGAGAGAAACAATGAACAAACAAGCGAGGTCATTTCAAAATATCATATATTAATAAAGTCTATGTTGTGGCTGGCTAGTCAGCCACAGGTGAAGAGTGATTCAACTTCCACAGTCCAAGGTTCATAGCATTTGGAACTGAGATTAATAAAGATTCTATGAATAAGTTTTAATTCTAAAATTTTATTAAACTATTTGATCAAAAACCATTATTTCATATATGTAAATGTAATGTTGACAAAATAATCAATAAAATGTAAGTTGAATGAATCTAAGTTAAATAAAGAAAGATAATATTATTTTATTTTATTTTTATCTGAAATTATTTAATATGAAAATATGATAAAACATACACTTTAGGGGACAATTGTAAAGTAAACAACATATTACTCTCTTATTTAGAGCATTAGGGTATTTAAGTATTAAATACATTTCCAAAAACTGCCTTTTAACGAGATTGCGTTCATTGCCAAGAATCCTAACTTCATTAAAGTCCACTTTGTGCTTAGTGTTAACAGAATGCTGGGCAAGAGCACAAGTATGCTTAGATAAGTTAATATCACTGCGGTGATCACGCCCTCTCAGTGATCTCCCTGTCTGATCGATGTAACATGAGTCACACTCAGCCCAATAGATGACATTTACTTGTTCCAGAAGGGACAAGGGTGTTTTTGTTTTAGAAAACAAATTCTTAACTGCAATTTTAACAGGAACATTATTTTGTTTGTACAGTTTAATAAGTTTTTCAGTAACTTGAGGAAAATAAGGTAAAGATGAGTAATGGGTGGTTGGAGTCCCAACCCATAGCTTTGTAAGTAAAGATATTTATTAATGAGGGAGGACCGATAGGAATTCTCAGAATATTTTCAAGTAATTGAAGGAATTCCCTTCGATTAACCGGATGTGTTAGTCTATTTAGGCTGCAGCTTAAAGCTTTAATTAGGTTTAATTTATATTTAAATGATGACAAGAATGGTAGTTGAGAAACCTATTAGAGGCCATTGGTTTCCTATACCAACTTGTGGTTAAGGTGTTATCTCCCATTCTAATGACACGCATGTCTAAGAAGGGAATACTATTTGTGCTGGAGTCCTCAAGTTCAACAGTGTACTGTAAATGAGGATCAAACTCATTGAACAAAGACAAGATGAGCTGTATCTTTGACAACAATATCTTGTATCTTTTACAATAATCGTATACCCATTACTGAAAACATGCGTCTCACTCGAACTTTCTTATGCACTACCGAGCGCAAGTGACGAGAGTCGTACAAGACGAGGAGATTTGCAATTCGAGACGACCACTAAATGTAGATTCAAACACATATTCTTTAATAGAAATATGCCGCCGGCATTCACATTCATCAGTTGACGAACAGTTTCCCAGCAGTCAGATAATGAATAATTTTGTGACTAGAAGGGACCGATTCGGCGCCGGGACTATGACGGAACTGATGTGTTTAAATCGACCTTAAACGACCCGTCTACGGAGCTCAATACAAGAACGAAGGAACTTGGGCGGTGGGGAGAGACCTACGCGATTGAAATCGAATCGACCACTTCGAGCGTCGACCCATGTGCGGACGGCCTAACAGTATCGAAAATGGCTGTAAACTATCTCACAAGTGTACCGCGTTTAACGGATAGGGACAATTACCAGGACTGGTCGTTCGCAATTGAGAATGTTCTTATTCTAGAAGGATTATCGAAGTGTATCAAGTTATCAATATGTGATAAAACATTGCATTTTTGTAATGGTTTCTTGCGAGAAGTTTGCATGATTATGATAATGATAATGATGATGAACTCAGTAAAACCCAATCAAGACAAATTATAACTTACTACATATATTTCATCTCCCTTTCCATGTATATCTTTACTTGTTTTACACATACAAATCGGGCAAGAACATGGGACTCCTTTATCAGTTGTGTCAACTTTCTTTTTTCTTTGCTCGATAGTGGGATCATAGTGTGGCTTACAACAACATTGTAAACAATTGCAATTTTTCATTTCATATGCCCCAAGTTGCTGCTGGTGTATAGTTTCTTCGATAGGCTTATCAGATTGTTTGCTTTTTTGCACAGCTGGATCTGCGCATGGATTGCAAGTACATTCAAAGCAGTCACAACCAGCTAAATGGTGTTCAACGTCTATTTTTTCTCTATTTTTGTTAGGATCTTCGCAGGGATTACAATTGCAAATAACGCAATTGCAGGGCACCAAGGGTCTAACAGGTCGTTCAACATTCGTTAACTGGCATAAACTACATTTGCAAACGATACACTGACAAATTAATGATTGTTGGGTGTTGGGAAAATCGCATGGAGAACAAGTACATGTCACACAATTACAATTCTTTTCTTTATCTAAAAAATAATTTTTCATTTAATTACCGGGTAAAATATATTAGGACAATATGTTGTACAAATATCTTTAACAATAATTAAATTATAACATAAACTAAATAGTAAATTAAAAAATATGGAAGATACAAAATTTTACTGAAATTTTCATACCACTGATTAATTTGACAACTTTCGACAATATGTTAACTTCTTCTTGATATTATGTCTATTCGCGACTAATATTAACAATCATTATGGCAATCTTTATCTTATCTTCAGCAACGTGGAAAAGTTACACATATGGTGTGTTAAACCAGGTTTTGAGGTTATATAACCTGGATGTAATTTTTTTTCCTGTACCTCTTCTTCCAAATATTTTTCCCTACGGGATGGCTTGTAAGAGCATGTAAGGCATATCTGAATTCATTTTGCATAATATGCCCGAAGTGAGGTAGCTTTTGAGATTTGTTGAGTTTCTCTTGGTTTTTCTTTACTCTTCTGAGAACCTATTTATTTGTAAGCCGTTCAATTTACGAAATCTTAAGTATTCTCCGACACAGTTACATCTCAATCGCTTCCAATCTCTTGCACATATATCTTCGTTCAAGGTTTATGATTCGACACAATAAAATAGAACAGATCAGATGTAGCATCGAATTAGAGTTTCTTACGCAGCCTTATTTTAATAGCTCCTCCATTCTGAGTAAATTCTCGAAAATGATTATCAATCAAATACACAATCAAATGATTAAATCTATGTTCAGGACTAGGAAATTAATTACCTACCTCAAGGTGTTTACCGTTATAAGAGCTATAAATATTTGTCCTTAAGGGGTAGTGCTTCTCTCTATCGAAAGGAGGAGTGGTGTGAAAGTCCGAAATTGGACTTTCAGAGTAACGGTTATTCATCGGTGAATGTCGATACATACCAAATGCCTTTGTGAAAGACCGAAAATTTATAAACTTTGTTATAGTTTCGGAGTATCACCAGTGTATGTTGACAAACGCAAATAAGTTTCGGCGAATGTCGGATATAAGTGGTTGTAACTGTTTTTGACGGCTTATGGGTGGCGTGTTTTATTTCTTGTTGCCATTGGTCAGTCTTCAATGCCTTTTAAATGATCTAACTCTTGCAAGTGAAGCTTGGGGTTTGAAAATAAATATCAAGAAGACAAAATCAATGATTATAAGTAGAAATGATTACCCCAACGCAAATATATATGTCTCTGGAGAAGAAATCGAACAAGTCAGGCAATTCAAATACTTGGAATGTTTGCTGAATGAGGGTTGGGACCCCGAGAATGAAATAAAGAGCAGAGTTGAACAAGCCAGAAATGCTTTTTTGAGGCTTCGTAAGTTTCTGACTGATCGCAAATTGGACTTCAACCTCCGATACAAGATGCTTAAGTGTTACGTGTGGCCTGTTCTCCTGTACGGAATGGAAGCATGGACGTTAAAGGCCAGTTCCATTAACAAACTTGAAGTGTTTGAAATGTGGTGCCTGCGTCGAAGGCTCAGAATATCATGGACGGACAGGGTCAGAAATGAGGAAGTATTCAGAAGAGCGGGCTTACAGGATAGGGAACTTTTTAATTATGTAAAAAGTAAGAAGACTGCAAACTTGGGGCACATATTACGAGGAGAAGGATACACTTTTAAGCAACTGATACTCGAAGGGAAGATAGAGGGTAGGAGAGGTCTCGGACGTAAAAAAATGTCATGGCTAAAAACAAAATGATTTAATCCAGAATATTTAACATCTCACCTGACAAGACGATGTACGGTGGACGCCTACGCAGAAATGCACGGCACCTTAAGAAGAAGAATTGGTCAGTCTTACGCAAGGCAGAAAAGAGTTGATTTTATATTAGGCAATATATTTTTTGTAATCAACGCCTATTACAGTAAATCGTAATCAGTTCTTTCAAAAATTACATACCCTTATTTAAAAGTAAACGAACAGACAATTGTTTTTATTTTTCTCAAGAAGCATACTCTAAAATAGTGTTGGAAGTAAATTCTGCTGAAAATATGTACAGTGCATATTTTGACATTTAAAGGGTAATGATGGTGAGAAGTAAATTGTGCCATTAAAACCAGGAATCATTAATATCCAGTTATTGTACCATATAACCTAAATAAAGAGTTGTTTGATATTCTTTTCGAAGCTCAAATGAGAAAGTTGTAATGTTATATAAGTTGTAATGTTATATTTGAATTTCTGTAAACAGTGTCAAATGAAACATAGTGTTCCTAAAAAAGCTACTATTGTGAAACCAATGATAAGTTCCGAATTTAAGTCTAGAAGTTAAGTCGACAAGTATATTGTACTTGCAATCACATAGAGACGACAATTAAACATTTATAATAGTATACCAAAACCATTTAACCAAGTTGGTTTAGCAAAAGTAGTTTATCACCTTCTTAAATTTTTTTGAACATTTGGTGCTGCCGTCATATTAAATTCAGATAATGGTGGAGAGTACATCTAGATCTAAGGAAATAACCATTCTGCAATCCAGCACGTGATCATCCCAAGTACTGACTGAAAAGCACGAACAAATTTCGTCAAAGCGTGCAGCTTCAAAAGATAATCTTTTAGATCAAGTAAGAAAAATATTGCGAACCTTCAAAAAGATATATATATATATATATATATATATATATATATATATATATATATATAATATATATATATATATATATATATATATATATCAGAAGGCTTGCCATTTATTTAATATACGCCAGAGTCCATACAAAGCCATGTTTGGCATTAAACCAAAGAGGAACAGCTAAAAATCCTGTTTGAATATTTTTCAAGAAAATTTGATTGGAACAGATTTTCAAACTAGCTCGCCTATATCTCAAGCACTGACTAATTCGCAGTGTAGCACTTCTAGATCTCAAGAGGTAGCTATTCTCCAGCCCAGCACGTCTTCATCCCAAGTACTGAGTGAGCAGCACGAGAAAATTTCGTAAAAGCGGTCAGCAGCAAAAGATAATCTTTTACTTCAAGCAATACAAATATTGCGCACCTCAAAAAAAAGTTTTGATCCAAGCAGGTGATACCGTGAGAATTCAAGTACCTGATGTTTCAGTAAGAGGATTCAGACTATAATAAATTAGCAAACAAACATTAGACCATCAAACAGCTTTTCATACGTAATTCGTTAGTAAATTTGTAAAGAAAAATTACTTTCTAAGGACGAGATTACAACTGATGAAGTTTCGTTAAGAGAAGCAGCTTATTCTAATTCTTAAAGTGAAGTGCAAGACTATACACATTGTAGCTGCAAAAGAAAGTGTTCAATGGCCACATGAAGTTGTAAAGGCAATAGGCTGTTGTGCAATTCGTGTCGTGATAGTTTAAGTTGTTGCAACAAATTAAATTACACATAATATATACGTTTCTTTGTTTCATTGTTTTTTCGTATTATATATTACAATACAATTAAAGGTTAAAGTATATTATTTATTGTTCATTGACGTTTTAATTTCCATTTAAGAAGTAATTACTTAAGTGGTTTTCTTAAAGCGCGTGAATTACGAACTCAAAGTTTATTAAAAATGTATAAAATACTGAACTAACTAACTGACATTGAAACCTAGTTTTTGATCAAACCACGTGCCCAGAAATTTTGCGGATTCAATGTTGGAGTTGTCACGTTAATGTTGCATAGACTTGTGGAGGTTATTTATTGAAGAATACTACCGAATTTTTGGTACTGAAAATTTAAAAATAGTACTGGTTGACTATTCTTCTAACTGGTTTAACATTGATTGCTATTTATCTGTAAATAATTTAATGTTTTTACCTTTGATATACACAACAAAATCGTCTGCGAATAATCGAGCTTTTAGGGATTTAGGTAGATTATGAATCATACTATTTATTGTTACTAGAAACAACGGAGTACTGAGTACTGAGGCTAGTGGAGTATTGTTTTCTCAACCTCTTCCTCAGAGTAAGAATTATGTACCCTTACTCGAAATAAAATATTGTACAAAAATTTTTGATAAAATTAAGGCAATTTCCATGTATATTCCATGTATGTAATTTTCTGATGTTATCAAATTTCCAAGATGTGTTAAATTCTCGTTTTAAATAAAAAATATTGCAATGCATGACTGTTTTGTGGCTAGCGCTTCGTGGATATTACTTATCTCTGTCAGCCCATGTACTATCAATTAACTAACTCTCTTCTTTCCATTTTTTTAATTATGCCTTCTCTCCAACTCTTCCTAGGTCAATATCTGCTTCTTCTTCCTCTTGGTAACCATTCCAAAATTTGTGTAGCTAGTCTTCCTTTACTCATGCGTTGTACGTGGGTGTACTAAATTAGTTGTTAAGTTTTGATATCATCTAATAATGAATATTTTGCATCTATTATCTCTCTAATTTTTTCGTTTGTCACCTTTTCTATTCTCCTCTTCTTATCATTTCTCGAAATCCATCTCTGTAGTGTAATTACGTTGTTATTATGCTCTTGATAATTAAGTTACAGATCATTTTTTCATTTTCTTTTGAAATTTTCTGGTTCCAAAAGATACTATTAAGCATAGCGATGACTTGTCTGCCCTGCCTACTTCTTTTTTTTATGTCCTTGTCGAGTGTTCCGTCTTTAGTTATATGTAGGTCCTTATAGGTAAGTACTTATATTCTGGACAACATTTCATTTCTCCCCCATCTTCCAATATGATGTATTCGTCGTCTCCTTCTCTATACATTTTTTTTATTTTCCCTATGTTGGCTTCTAGATTCGATCTTTGACACTGTTCTATTAATTATCTTGTCATATATTCTAGGTCCTGTACTTATATTATCTGGTCATCTGCAAAACATATTGTACATAGGGTGCTATTGTTTTTAGGGGTATCCCTATTCCACTGCATTTTTTTTATGTCTTTAAAAGATTTTTCCAAGTAAATTTCAGAAAAATTTGGCGACTGACAACATCCTTGTTTGAGTGGTGCTTCTCTAGTTTGCTCAATAGTACTTAAAAATCTTTTAGGAAACCTCACAAGAGAAAGCTTTCGCGCTTTGGCCAATACAGACGATATATTTATGGTAAGCATGCCAGTATTACTGTTGACATGTAAGGTTTATTCAATCTAGTAACTAACTCTGGTGTTTAACAGAAGGACTTTTGGTATATCGTAATAAATTAAGAATTGTTTTATTTACAAATAGAAAAAAAATATCTCAAATGTATTCTTGATATATATATATATATATATATATATATATATATATATATATATATATATATATATATGATGACGCAAAACCAGGAATGGCTTTTTATGGGAACCGTAGACTCTATGACACAATATGTTAAAGTGGCCTGAAAATAAAAAGTTGAAAGTAAGTTGGAAAAATACAGCCTTGCTTTTATAGATGTCATGATTCTAATCAAATACTTCCTTAGAGGTAACCACTCTACCTATACATATAAGGAATAAGGAGGATCTTTCTAAAAGCAAATTTATCCCAACACGGGACTGAAAATTAAAAAAACGAAATTGCAAAAATCACATGGGGAGTTGACACGTTTTATATTGCCTCGTTAAAAATACAAAAAGGAAGTAGACATAGGGTTTATTAGTATTAATAGTCTATTAATAGTACTAGGAAATACTTCTACAATATCTTATGTAAGACTGCTAACAATATATTTTTATGTTTTATGGTGCCTAAAAAGAAGCATTAATTCAGCCAAAATATTAATTGCCATAAATCAGTTGAGTTGCATTAAAGGCTTCGACATCTTTAGCGATAACAACTTAAAACTGCAGACAGTCACTTAAATAACTGTCAAAGCATAACAAAATAACTTTCTGTTATGGGTGCCAGGACATAAAAAAAATTTAAGGACATTGCTGATAGTCTTGCTACAGAGGGTCTTATAACTCTATCGGACCAGAGGCGATATGCTTAATACCAAAATCTTTACAATTAATGATGTTCGAATGGGAAATGGATCTAAATATATTTTGCTGTAAAAATATTCCAGTGGAAAGGCAAGCAAAAATGTTTTACAACTTTCTGCCGTCAAGAAAAAATATTCTTAGAGTCCAAAAGGTTGCATTCAGATAGTCACAGATGTGTTTACTAAATACTGCTCACTCAGATATTACCTTTGTAAAATGGGCAAAGGGGATCGAAAGGTGGAAAGGAATAGATTGTCCGCAAGTGTAGAGCAATTGTCCGCCGACGCCATAAATAACTGATACCTGTATTTTAAAAACCAGACGAGATAACAAATTTCTCTTTAAAAAGGAATAATGGCATTTTTTAGAAGATAAAATCTGTTAGACTAAACCTAGATATTTCAGGTCACAAGTTCTACGATGTCACAAGACTAAACTACCCACTTTGAAATCTACAATTTCCAATTCCAACCTAAGATAATATTTAAAATAATTTATTTAAAAATAATCTTAACAGTATTAAAATACTTAAATATGAATTATCCTATACGTTAATTACCTAGTTCTAATTTAATCGGATGAATTGCGGGATCACCTGGCTCACAGGTACATTTTTTACAGTGACATTTGGAAAGTTGTGTTTCACGATTTATATCTCCTTTCGCTTGAGTTACATTGGGATCTTTACACTGAGTGCATTTACAAATATAACAGTCGCATGGTTCTCTCTTGTCTTCCTGTTGTTTTTCTACTGGAGTCTTGTATAAAGCCTTAAATATTAAACTCGAACTATTAGGGCTCGAACTTGAGATTAAAAATTAAATGGTAGTTTAAAAATTTAAACAAGTAACAAATTTAAATAACTTAAAATCAAGTTATCAAGTAATAACCATATTGAGTAAGAAGTGAAACAAAAGGTGCCAAAAGAAAACAGAACTGAAGAATTTCTCAACGACACAAAATGTAGAAGCAAACACCTAATACTGTCTAGTTTTTTTTATGTTCTGTAGCCACGACATTTGTTTGTAACCTACTCCTCTCTTGCCTTCAATCTTTCCCTGGATGATTAGTTGAGGGATTGCGTATTTTTTTCTTCTGAGAATATGGCCGAGGTATCCAATTTTCGTACCTTGATCAAATTGAGTAGTTCTCTCCCAGTATTTGCCTTTCTTAAGACTTCCTCGTAGCTTAACCTATCTGTCCATGGTATGCGGAATATTCTTCGCAATGTCCACATTTCGAAGGCCTTCAACTTATTAATGGAAGGTACTCTTAACGTCCATGTTTCCATGCCGTATAACAATATGGACCATACATAACATTTAACCATCCTATAGCGGAGATTGAAGTAAAAATTGCGGTTACATAGTAGCGGTTCAAATTTGATAAAAGCTTGTCTTGCTTGCTCGGTACGGCATTTTATTTCTTGTTGAAGATCCCATTGGTCATTCATCATCATTCCCAAGTATTTAAATATTTCCACTTGATCGATTGGAGTACCATCTACTTGCAGTTGTATTCTTAAAAGTACGTTTTTTCTTATTGCCATGCATTTAGTTTTTCCAGCATTTATCTTTAAGCCGTATATTTTTCCTACGATGTTTATTTTATTTAACATTAACTGCATATCATGTTCGTTGTCTGTTATTATCGCGGTGTCGTCGGCGTAACGAACGGAACCCGTTGACCTTTATTCCACACTCAGAGCCTTCCAGTGCCTCTGCAACAATGTTCTCTACATAGATGTTGAAGAGCATAGGAGACAAAATACACCCCTGTCGCACCCCTCTTAAAAGTTCAAATTCTTCTGTGTTGGTCGATTTGTTCAGTCTCTCTCGTACTTTTTGATTTCAATAGAGATTATGATAACTCTTATATCTTTCTCGTCAATTTTAGCGTTGTGTAGCATTTTTATCATTGCGTCGTGTTTTACGATGTCAAACGCTTTTTCATAATCGAGAAATGTTATGACTACATCCTTTCGTTGATCTATGCAGTTTTGTACAAGCGTATTCAAGCAGAAAGCTGCTTCACGTGTACCTAGTCCGCTCTTGAAACCAAATTGTGTCTCACCGCTTAGATCTTCCATTTTTCTAAACATTCTTTTGTAAAGGATGCGAAGAAATACCTTGATGGCTCATTAAACTTATCAGTCTGTGGTCTTTGCATTTTTTCGCCCTTTGTGATTTAGGGATCATTATAAAGGTTGAATAAAGCCAATCCGTTGGAATGTTGCCGGTGTTATATATAGCATTGAAAATTGTTACCAGCATGTCGATGTTATCATCTTAAAATAGTTTTATGGCTTCCATAGTAATTCCATCCGGTCCAGGGGCTTTGCCTAGTTTTGCTACTTTTATAGAGTACTCCACCTCAACGCGAATAATGGGAGGGCCGGAGCAGTTCATCTAAAAAGAACAATATGATAAACCAAATATCCATAGAAAAGATATAAGTATGTTACCTCAAAAAGACATGTAGCAGTCAATGATATTAAATTGTAAAGAAGCTTACGATAATGGGCGAAGCATAAGATTATGTTGTATAAATAATAAATTGAGCTTTTAGTCTGCTGCCGGTGAAATGAAGGCAACAAGTATTAACAACGCCAACAACGTGAAAAGACAGTGGCCTTGAGGTCAAAATATGGGAGAACAGCAAGGCGAAATAATATATGTGTGTGTATGTGTGTGTTTATGTTAATTTAGAGAAAGCTGCAAGATTTTTAAAAAAATACCTACTTTTGTTGAATCTGGACATGGATCACACTGGCAGTCATCATTACTGCAAACCAATTTATTCTCGCCTTCTTGTGTATAATGAGGAATGTGATAACGCACATCATTTTTTTTGTTATCATCTACGCAAGGGTTGCATTTACATTCTACGCAATTACAGGATAATATGGTTTTATAAAAATCTGGTTTGTACATAGATGCATCCTGACAAGTGAGGCATTTACATGTATCTGTACAAGGACAATTGCGATAATCGGCTCTAGGGGAAGGAAAATTGCTGTCTTTTACAGAAATATCCGTTCCTATTTTCGTTCCAAATTGTCTTCTTTTGTCCTTATCTACGCAAGGGTCGCATTTACATTCTACGCAATTACAGGATAATATGGTTTTAAAAAAATCTGGTTTGTACATTGATGTATCCTGACAAGTAAGGCATTTACATGTATCTGTACAAGGACAATTGCGATAATCGACTTTAGGGGAAGCAAAATTGCTATCTTTTACAGCAATCTCCCTTACTGTTTTCGTTTCCATTTGTCTTTTTTTGTCCTCATCTGCGCAAGGATCGCACTCACATACTACGCAATTACAAGATACTTTGGTTTTAAAAAAATCTGGTTTGTACATTGATGCATCCTGACAAGTGAGGCATTTACATTTGTCTGTTAAATGGTCTCTTGTGTTTGATGATTGAATGGTTTTGATTACTTTATTTGGATCAACACAAGGACTGCATCTGCAAATATTACAATTACATTCCAATTGTGGGTTGTTAAAACTTTGTAACTCTGGTGTATCTACATCACAGGTAAGACATTTACAAAAGGAACCATGATAGCCCGTTGACTGCCCTAAAAGAAAACATGGTCAAATAATGAAAAAAATTAATCATTTGTAGAAAAATTTAATTTTTAATAACTACTAGAACCATAGCTGTACCATATTTTTAATAATACAAATATTTTAGTCTTTTTAAGATTATAGAGGGTTATATAATTAAAAAGCTACAATCTAGTAGTGATTCCAATGAAAGAGTATGCAGCCCTGCTTACTCTTCTCCTCACTGTTCATTATTATCCTCAGGAAAATTACCTACTTCTTTTCGTTTTCTTAAATATTTAGGTATTAATAGACTTAATTATAAATATTGTTCTGAAGCTATTTTCTTGTGGCATTGTAAATTAATTACTATTTATAACTGGGAATAAGCCACAATTAAAGATAAAAATACGTTTATTGACGTTTTCAATTTCCAATTCGGAAATCGTTCTCAAAATACAAACAGTAAATTAAACAAATTTTGTTTTTTGTTGAAAAAAAGCACGGAGTGCATGTGACCTTGCAAGAGATTGGATTAGTGAGCGTGGTCTGAAACTTGCTGAGGAGAAGACCGAGGCCGTGATCCTTAAGGGACCACGGAAACGCGAGAATGTTATATTTGAAAGAAGAAGGGCTCTGCACGGGGTAGTGCAATCTATCGTTCTTTATGCGGCCCCAGTTTGGGGCGGAGAGATAGATATATCATCCTACCGGAGACTTTTAACACGAACAGACAGAACAAGCCTGTTACGCGTAGCAAGCGCCTATAGAACTGTTTCTGCAGCAGCATTGTGGGTCATCACTGGCTGCATGCCCTCTCACATCTTGGCATGTGAGAGGACCCGTTTATTTCATCGTGCTCGTAACACTGGTGTGACTGAGAGTGCCAAATGTGAAGAGAGAGCCACATCTATACATATATGGCAAGCCGAATGGGAGGCAACTGTGGATGTGGCACAGTGGACCAAGTCACTTATACCGAACGTAAAGACGTGGCTCGAATGTGGACACCGACGTTTAAATTATTTCCTGTCGCAGGTTCTCACGGGCCATGGGTGTTTTCGCTTATACCTTTTCAGGTTCAAAAAAGCGGCTACAAATAGATACCCTTACTGCGGTTTGGTCGACCCTGTGTCACATACACTGTTGGAATGTGTAAGATGGAGTAGAGATAGATTAGAATTGGAGAGAAGAAATGGTGTTCGTTTTGATTCCGTGAATGATATGATTGCTAGGATGTGTGAGGATGAAGACACGTGGGCAAGAACCCATGCATTCGTCAGACAGATGCTCCAGTCCAAGGTGACTGAGTTTGTTGTGTTAGTCCAGCGATGAAGTGATACTTAACCAGAAGTGAGGCGGATGTAGTACTGAAGATATGTCGCCACCGGGGCAAATCCCGGACTGCACTCGCGGATCACAAGCGTAGTTGAGAGGACGAAGGGGTTTTAGTGGGTAGGCTCTCGTCCCGGCCGGGATTGCGGTTGAGCGTGTCACATGTGGTGGGCTCAACAGCCATCTTAGCGGCGGTGAGGGAATCCCACATATCAGACATACGGACTGGTATCTTACGAAGATTTCCCACCCACCTAAAAAAAAGACAATTTTTACTTCCTTCTGTCAACAGTTGGTTGTTGCCTCTCAAGGCATTAGGGAACTCTTTTTCAAGCTAGAATATTGTACTTTGCCTTAAAAAATGTAATCCTTTATCATTGACCTAGTGTCTTATTAATTATAATGTTAATTACTCAAATTGTGTAATTCAAATGTCATCTGACTATAAGTAGTATACATCATGCGGCTAGTTCCAAATACTTATAGTATTTGGATGTAAGTAATCAGATTTTTAATTTAACAGCCAAAATTTTACCCCTTTTATTTTCATTTTTTAAGTAGTTATACTTATTTGTAGATTTTTCACTGATGATAATCTGATAGGATCGAAAACATTCTGAAAATTTATAAATTAATTTTGGATATTTTTTAAACAATTTTTATAAAATTTAAAAAAAAAATTATTAAAAGAAGTTTTTACTTCATTGTAAGTTTTTTTAAACTATAGTATACAGCCTGCCACTGGGAATTTCCCTTTACCCATTTAAACCATTTAAAAAAAATACAATACCTATTGGTTGTAGTCCAGAAAAAGGTAAGAGGTTTTCAGGTGTTACTGTAATTGCTTTATCTCCTCGGTCTTTTGGTTCTATTTTAGGAGAAGGACATACGGAGCAGACACAATTTTGACAATCACATGTAGTTGATGGAATTATGGAGGTTATGGGTGATTTCTTTTGTGCATTTTCAAAACAAACTGAACAAACACACTTTACGCAGGTACACATTAGAGTCGGTGTTTCCATTTCTGAGCAGACACAAGTTAGACAAGAACAATCTTCACCCTAAAATTTATTATTAAGTATGTTTTATAACTCTTCATCTAAAAGTAAGGGAGTATATTAGAGAAAAGAAACAAAATTAATACCGTTTGAAAATATTCTTTGGAATATAAATTTTGTCCGGTTTGTATATTTCGTCAATTTTTTTTTATTTTTCCTGGCGACCATATCTTACCATATGCCTTGTAGAAGAAGAAATAATAACTGAAATAACTGAAGAAGTTAATAATATCAAGGCGAACCCCAATAAATACATTTTTGACTTCAACCATTATTTACAAAGAAGGAATGTTCTGGACCAATTAAATTTAACTTTTCAAATTATCCTTCAGCTAATAAATGACCTAAAAGAAGTCATTACATTTTCTCGTGTAAATACTTTCCACAACAGTGTGATCAAGAAATGAGAAATAAAATGGGTCATCAATAAAATGTTAGAATACCATAAGGCAGACCAGATTGTGTACATCAAAGACGAAGACATCCTAAAACACTACGACATCATTAAAGTAGATGCCTATTATTACTATTATATTTATTCTCCATTTTCCAGTTCTACACCCTTATTCCTTTACTTATTATCACTTATTTATGATACCTACTGCAAATTGCTCGAATTGGCCGAATCGACACGAGATATCTTTGCAGAAAAGAAACCATACTATAGAAAATGTCACACTGAGAGTGCAGTACGGGTAAGATACGGCAATGCTTTTCTTATGGAGAATAAACGCGCAGGGTTGTCGGTTTTCTCCAGCTGTTGATTGCTCATTGTCTCACAGGATCGGCTTGGATAAAATGCATCTGCCGGCAGTACGAGTAAAATATTTTATATCATGTATACGTATACAGTAGAATAAAAAGGCATTGATGAGTTATTGACAACGAAAATTATGAATTTTGCATATAAAACGTCAACATGAGATATACAATTGAATCATATTCATAAGAGTAACATTTGAACACCTCTTTACAAGAACAACATACAATAACTGTAGTTTTAATGTTTTACATAAAATAGAAAAAACCTACATAATTTCTAGGAAAGAATTTGGAAACTTGGAAATGATATTATTTATAGATATTATATATAATATTCAAATTTCCAATTCTTTCATAGAAATTAGATTTTTTCTATTGTATGTAAAATATTAAAAATACAGTTATGTTGTTTCTATAAATAGGTCTTCATTTCTTTTGTAAAACTTCTGCTACAAATTACCATCATTAACATAATCACCTAAATATGGCCATAAACTTGTTTGTCATAATTAGTATTTGATAAACTCCAAGCTTTCCCTATTTCACCCCTACCCATCCTAAGGATGGGTAGGGTGTGAAAGTGCTTTTGGAAAACGAAACTACACTTCAAAATTTAGTCCGAGTTTCAACAGAGAGCATGGAGTCCCATAAGTTTAAATCCGGTGAATTATTTAACGGTTGCGCTAAACTCGTAGTGTTAAATGTGTTGTGTTTTTTACAAAATACGGAACAACTTAATGTAAGTGCTGCTGTAAGACGTACTTCGTTGATGACTGGTGTTAGCGAAAGAAGCATTTACAATTTCAAAAAAGAAAAAGAACAGAGTGGAACGTTGAAATCGCCAAAAAAAACGTAAAAACGAGTGTGTCAATCAAATTCTAGAATATTCACATATGACGAGGGTGTAAGAAGTATTCTACGGAGAATTGTTCATTGTGAATTTTTCATGAAAAATTTGCCGCCATTCTTAAAGCATATACATAACTTCATACAAGGTAATGAGAATATACAGCCGTTGTCTCTTTCTACTTTATACAGACTTCTGAAAGATATTGGATTTGTTTATAAGAAACGTGGCCGAAGAAGCATCATGGTGGAGCGAGAGGATATTATTCATTGGCGCCATAATTATTTGAGAACTATACGACGTTTGCGAAAAGACCATTGCAATATCATATATTTGGACGAATCGTGGGTTAATGTTGGCCAATCTATAAATTACGAATGGTGCGATACTACGATACAAAACAGTCGTGATGCTTTTCTCAAAGGTTTAAGTACTGGCTTAAAAGCACCTACTAAACGAGGTCCACGATATGTTTTATTGCATGCAGGTTTTTCAGGAGGTTTCCTTCCTGGCACACAGCGTGTTTTTCTGGCAAAGAAAAATGATGGCGACTATCACGATGAAATGGATGCCGCATATTTTGAGTCGTGGTTTAAGGAGACATTAATATCAAATTTACCAAATAATGGTCGCAGGAATGCCATTGTAATGGACAATGCATCGTACCACTCCCATAAAGAGAGATTCCCTAACAATTCCTGGAATAAAGCTGCAATCAAGGAGTGACTAGTAGAAAAAGACATTTTTTTCGAGGAGTGTTATTTGAAATCCGAGCTATTAGAAGCAGCGCGTGCTTTTAAAGATCAATACGATAAGTATCATCTTGATGAGTATGCTTCACAACATAATGTTTATATTTTAAGGCTTCCTCCATATCACTGCGAATTGAATCCTATAGAAATGGTGTGGAACCAAGTTAAGCGATATGTAGGTACCCATAATACCACTTTTAAAAACGACGAGGTACGCCAGTTGATCGACGACGGTTTCGCACGCGTCACAGAGCAAAATTGGCGCAATTATGTCACTCATGTTGTTGAGAAAACGGAAACTGAGATGTGGACTGCGGACAACCTGCAAGATGACGTAGACCAATTGATAATACACGCGAACACACATCTCGAATGTAGAGGACGACTTTAGTATAATTAATTGAATATCTGGGGTCGTATTTTTGAATGTGTTCGAATTTACTCGCATGCGATTAGTTCGAACGAAAAAAAATCGTGCACGAACGTAAAAGCGTATTTTCGAACGCAATTCGAAAGTTTAATTCGCATACGAGAATTCGTTAACCCAAATTCACCGGCAACGCCGCAAATTCGCACGAAATTAAGAAAAGAAGAAGTAGAGGTGACAGGCGACATTTATTTGACTGACAAGTTTATTTTACTTGTTGCAGCAGACTTGAAGCTTCTTAGTTTTTTGTGATTTGCTCAATTTTCTACACAGTGTTAACGTGTTTTGGCTTGTGTTTTCGTACTACTCTGTTTTCTCTGTTTCCAATATGGACAAAGAAAATAAAAATTCCATGTTCGGAGGATTTGTATCTTCCGAACAAAAAAAGAACTGATAGATTTTATCGAAGAAAATCCCGATTTAAAAAGTGGTAAATTTACAAACAATTTTACATATACAACTGCCCAAACAATGTGGCAGAAATTGGGCCAAATATTAAACGGTATCCCTTACGGTTGACATAAACTTCTTCAGGGTATTGCTCTCCCTGTTTTGGAGCCCTTATTGCCACATGTGTGCAGTCCACACATCCAATTATTCCTGGGAAGTTGTACTCCCTATAAAATCTAAAAAGCAACATTTAAATTTTATGAATTTATTTATTTATTAAAGTAAATAACATTTTACAGAGTTAAAAATTAACAAGTCTAATATTAAACAATATACTAAAAAAAATATTGGAGTAAGAAAATTTTTTGGTAACTTACTATAGAAAAAAGGTCAACAAAAATTTTTCTTTCCTTTACAATGATTTTTGTAAATGTTTTTTATAGTTATTTCGACTGGAGCTATAAATATTTTTAACTAGATTTTATGTCAACTAAATAATAGTATATTATGTAACTAGTAGAAGAAGCTACATTTCAACGGCGATTTGTTAGTTCTTTCACTCGCTGTTGCTTGTGAAAGAAGTCACTCGAGCCGTTGAAATGTTTCTTCCACGTGTTGCATATACTATTTTTTCTACGAAGTTATTTAGCACAAAATTAACATAAATTTATTAGAAACATATAAAAACGTTTGACCATTTGACGTTTAGTTTAGATTATCTGACAGGATTTGATTCAAATTATTTGGAAGGCGAAATTCCGTTGGCTGTTGCCCGTAGCAAAATGTGTAAAATGATATTCCAAAATGTACCAAGTGGGGCTCCAAAAGTTCTATTAGTTCCTCTGCCAGAGGCTTTGTTAAACAATATAATTTTATAAATTGTTTGTCTGATAAGACTTCAAGAGGGTTTAAAAATGCATGGTATACTCTATTCTCCACATTCGCTAACATTTCTGCATCTTCTAAGGCATTTAAAACATTTCTTTTAATTAAAAAAATTTAGGGCGGCCATCTCACTTATGTTAAACAATTAAAAACCAAACTAAATGAAAAAGTCATAAATTTCAAACTCCGTGTGTTTACCGCTATTCGAATGGTGAATAACCACTCGAGCAGTCGTGTACGAAAATCGTCGTATACGATGCGTTCGAAATCAACTCGAAAATACGAATCATCGATTTTCGTCCGAAATTCATCATCTTTCGCATACGACTTCCGTTAGAACGGTTTCGAAAATACGGGCCCTGTGAGTATCCTCAATTATTTTACACTGTATAATCAATAAAATGCATTTACCAGTCCAATCAGAGTATGGGCTTTTCGGATATTGGACTGGGTGCACGTAAATCGAGTTCCCGGAGGTTCCACCCTTTATATTTATAGCTATCAAGAAATGTAATTTAAAATATATTTGTTAGTTTAATAATGTATAAATATAATATAATGTTAAATAACTTACACTCTAAACCTTATACCTGCTCATCTGGTTAAGTGTTGGCAAGGAAAACCATTATCCCATATGGAATAACACAAGGTTTCGCTGAAAACTACCAGGTTGCTATGGCAAGGAACTAGGTAAACTTATGTTGTATGTAAAAAATGCGAAACTGCATTATGTTTTAACAAGGACAAAAACTCTACTTCAGATTTCCACAAAAAAAAAATTTATAGTAGGTGTTAAAATTTCGCAGTGATTCAAGTGCGCAACTTGTTTTTTTTTTAAACATCGCCGGGATTAAAAAATGTGCAAAGCTTTTTCGAGATTCCCGTTCCTGATAATTTTTCACATATTTACAAAAGAAAAAGTTTTTCTTGGATATCGGGC